ATGGGGTAAATAAAACTGACCATGTACATTCAAATCTCTCTCTCTCTCTCTCTCTCTCTCTCTCTTAATTAATACATTATTTATACATTATATAAGTTATATGTTTAATATAAATAATACAATTAAATCTAGAGCCAAAATATGAGGACTTAAGCAAACAGTTTTTGGATTATGACTGTCCAACCGAACTAAATTGTAAATGGGACAAAGACCGAGCTCGACTACACTTTTTTAACACTACTCGGGCCGCGTTCGGCGACTACCGGTGCAAAGTTGACTACTGGTCCGACTTTGACATGACATCGCACGAACACGACTCGTATAGCAGTTTAACGGTCGGCCGTTTTGAACATAACAACACTTTTTACATCCAACTTCATAGCAATGCTCTCACCTTTGGGTCGTCCCTAACACTGATTGTCACGTCAATCGTATCCCTCGTTATTTTTAAACAAATATATTAAATTAAGTTTAATTACAATATTTATTAATTAGTTTTATATATATACAAGGTCATTAAGTTAATTAACAAATCAAATTTGTATTTTATTTTTAAAATCAACAGTTTATTTTAATAGCATTTTAATACTAGTTTTTTAATTAACATTTAATATTTAATGTTTTACATATGAATTAACTGTAATAATACAAATAATGTATTGATACAAAATAAACAATTTATTATTTGCGTTGCAACAATTGAATAAATCACTTCATGTAGTTAAATTAAAAACTTTACAACAATTATTTCAATGAACATCAAATGTACAAATAAATTATTTCAAAACAGTTCAATTAATTGTGCAATAATGGCATTGGATCATGGCTAAATTGTATTATATCAAAAGTATTGCAGTGTACAACAATATCATTATTAAACAATGTCTGTAAAACATGTACTAATCCTTATAATCGCAATAACCATAGGAGTAGAGTTGGGTCAAGCGGTGAAAGTATTGCTCACAATTACACAGACGGCCAGAAATCCGGTTAGTTTTGACGTCGAGTGTACTTACGATTACGACGCCGACGAAATCATCCGCACTATTAATGTTACGTTCAATCATAAAGTGCTGTACACTGTCGGAGAGCATACCAGATGGGGTAAATAAAACTGACCATGTACATTCAAATCTCTCTCTCTCTCTCTCTCTCTNATTTACCCCATCTGGTATGCTCTCCGACAGTGTACAGCACTTTATGATTGAACGTAACATTAATAGTGCGGATGATTTCGTCGGCGTCGTAATCGTAAGTACACTCGACGTCAAAACTAACCGGATTTCTGGCCGTCTCTCTCTCGTGATTTACTTTAATTTAGTGCTCAATTTTATAAATACACTTAACCTTTGACTACAATTAGTGCCAGAGTTTGAGCGCAATCTGGAGCTGCAGACGAGCCGCCACTCGAGGGGCAAATTCAGTGTCGTAAACGTGACGCGACGCGCGTTCGGTGACTATCGGTGTGACATTCAGTATTGGTCTGACTATGAGAGGCAAGTGATGACCGCATCCACAAAGGGATACGTGACAGTCGGCCGACGCTTTACGGACAGCACGTTTTACATCGAACCTCATTATCTATACCATTATCCCTATCATGTATAACTTGTTATAACTTGTTAGAAATTATAATTTATTTAATAATGTTGAATCTCAATAAAATGTTTAAAACCAAGAAGTTGCAATTTTTATTTTCATGTGATAAGCATGTAACAAATTAAATAAAAACACAAAATGCATATAATCATTGTAAGCATTTTATTTCAACATTTATTGGTTAATACAATTTCGTTGGTGGGAAGGGCTGGTCAGGAATATGACCTTGGCACTTAACCGGCCGCCTCTGCGCCGGCCTTAATGGTTTCTGCGGTTAATTTCATCTCTTCATACCAAACAGACATACAGTTTAACTGTTTAGCCTTAGGCTCTTTCAGACAACCGGCGGCCTTTCCGTACCACTCCTCGCCCTTTTGGGCCGCCATATGGCACAGCATTTGAGCCCCGGTCGCACCCGTGGCCATTGCTTTTGCACAAAAAAAAACATAAACAAAAATCAAAACAAGTTTAAAATGATATATTTTTAATAATCCCATTATAATAATCATTATAATATAATCATGTTAATAAAGACACAAAATTTACCTTTGCAGAATTCGTTGTTGGCGTGCGCTGAATCGCATTTAGGCATTTTCATGGCATGTCCGGCGCCTTTCTCAGCCCCTTCGCACAGGTGTTTAAAGCCCTCTCCAATCACTTTACTGCCCATTTTCTCAGCATGATGGACGCCCTCCTCGTACGCCTTGAGGGCCGCTTTGGGGAAATGTTTTTTCACTTGGTCCAAAATGGCATCGGCACCCATTAGGGTAACCACAACCACTAGTACCGTGGCCAATGTTTTACTATGCATTATAGTGTTTTATTGTTACCTGGATGGTATCTGTTACAAACACTACTATCGTTGCTGTTTGTCTCAAATAGTCTTATATCCCACTCATTAGGCAATCATTAATGATATTTCGATATCGAAATTGACAAACATTTGTTTAAATACACCAATCGTTTAATTGTGTTATTTAATTGACAATATATTTACGATCAAAAATAAAATAATCATTAAATTTTAGCATTTGATTAATCGGACATTTATTAAACATTATTTAGTAATTAAAATAACAGTTAAAAAGCAATTAACAAAATTTACTCTTAAAACATATACAGTACGTGTATTAGATGTACAGTAAACGACACAACTATTGCGCCACTCAATGGCCATTTAAATGGCACATATTCTCAATCGGTGATTTGATCTTGGCCTGTTTCATTAGTGTTTCCACAGTCTCTTTATAGCCGCAAAGTTTTTCGCCCCACTTTTTCAAACAATCCTGGTCTTTTAGGGTAAAACAATGCACGGCCAATGTGAACAACTCCTTGCCCTCTTCGCGGGGCACATCGCATAGTACTGCGTGCATCATGGGCGCATTACTCAGGACTAAAACATTTAAAAATTAATTGTTTAAATTATTAAACATTTTAATTAATACAGTATTACCACGTCAAAATATAAAATATACAGTCTGACCCTCTATTTACGTGATCGGGGTACAATTACATTACGGGAAAATTGTCACTCTTTATAAGAAGCAAATTTACTGCTCAATGATTTAGTCTCTTAAATAGAGGTCAAACTGTATTTTTAAAATGTAGTTACTAGATGATTTTTTGCTTACATTCACAATGGGGTTCTTTCTTGTGCGCTGTATCGCACTTGAGAAAATTAATGCCCTGCTTAGTCAAGGCGGGCACAATAGCGCCCGTGGGTTTGCAAAATAAATCAAAGCCCGCGTCAATCGCCTTCGCGCCCACATCTTTCACGCCATTGGCCACAGTGTCCACACCTTTTTTAATATGGTCAACGATGGCAGACACGCAAATTAATTGCACGCTTAACGCGATTATAGCCAACACATATAGTTTAGTCATGTTTTTAATTAACAGAGTTTTACCAACACGGTTTACAATTATATAACTGCCTGACTACTGGTTAGCGAGGGTTATATATAACTATTTTATTTGTGCGTGATCAAGCTGGTTCATTGGTGGTGATTTTGTTTTTGTTTAATATTGCTTAATTATTTTGCATGCTATGTTAAGTAGGGGTTACCACGTTCGCGTTTTAAAAGTAAATTTTAAATATTATTTATGCATTTATAATATTTTAACATTATAGAAACCTTTTGTGTCATTCATAAAATATCGTGGTTATATTTAAAGCTATCCATATATGCGTTAATTTTTACACAACTATTAACTAGCATTTACTTTTACTAATTAGATATTTCCGTGAGATTATCAAGTTTTTATGATAAATAATTTATTTCATGTATGACATCAAATGAAAATTCATTATACTCACAACAAATAAGATGATGGGTATTTATCTAGCTGGTGGAATGTAAAGCTTTATTAACGTCATTTATAAATATTTGTTGATAACCTTAGTATAATTTAGCATAATTACCTTTAACTTGAAGTATTCTATTTACTAATCTATAAAATTAAAAGCTTATATATTTGCAATATAAGCAAATAATTTATCATTCAATTTGCAATTTTTATAATTATTGATAAAATAAATATATAAAAGGAAATCACAAGCAATAACTACGTAAACTAAAATTAGATATTTATAAATTATTTATAAACTTAATATAACAAACATTATTATTAATAACATATGAATAATTATGTTAAAACAGAAACATTACAACCGCAATGAAATTTCTAAATAAAGTTACAAACATCGATTTTCTCAATAAAAATATCAAAATTTATTTTACAGTTAGTAAAATAATATTTTATTTTTATTAAAAACAAAAATGCAAGTAATAAATAGATTTTTACCAAAATTACAACCAAAATGCATTGAAAAAAGTTTTCAGGTATTATGAAAATTTTTAAATAACTAACTCATAACTAAAATACTTAAATTAAACTAATTATAAATAATAAATATTATTAAAATTTACAGTCAATAAGACATGTAACACAACAGACCATCGCAGCCGAGTCCCGGTGCCGGCCATACAGTGATTCAAAGTTACTGACATTCAATTACTCGCGCTATGAATCGCCATTCAGTGTCTCAATTAACCCAAACTACTCGCAATGGATGGACCGGTACTGCACTCAATGGGCTATCGATAACTGCGGGCCAATGCGTGAGCACCAGAAATACCGGACAAACATTCGGGACAGCGACTGCGGACTCTGGGCTGCCGTCGTCTATCCCTCGGCCAATTGGCACAGGTGTCAGACATTGATGAAGTGGTCGCTAATGTTTTTCATATGCGATGATTACCACGATATATGTGTCGACGGCAGCGGACATCCCTTTAAGGTCAACCACTTTTGGCACCAAATGAATGAAGCGCTGGACACTCTACTACCGATAACCGGTGGCGATCAGTATTACACTCGAGTAGAGTGGCCAGATTACGTCAAAGGGGCGCAACAGGTTATGCGGGATTTATACTTTGATTTTAGTGACCAACAAATCCGGCGATCGGTGGACAGCATTAAGGGTTATGTCGCCGGAAATATAGGCGAATGCCAATGGAGTGAGGGGTCCATCGAATGGACTGACTATATGAACGCTCGGTAAGTAAACTTTTAAATCATAATAAAAATTATAATAATTAATATTATTACTTAACAAATTGCTCACATTTACCACGCACATGTAAAGTTTGGGATCAGTTGGCGGACACATGGCCTTACAGTTGATAGAGTACGCCAACGACATCGAGCTAACCGACGAGGAATGGCAACACCCGTGGATCCAAACGCTAAACCGTTTAGTGGGCGAAGAGATGACACTAATCAACGACTATTACACGTTCAGGAAAGAGGTGATGGAAAACGGGGGCAACTTTTACCAAATGCGACACCCGTTCGCACTACTCGTGACCGGCGATTCGGGACATACACTGCAATCGGCGGTCAATAAAGTGCGCGAAATGATTGTGGAAAAGGATACGGAAATTGTGGACACATTGCGGGCGATCGACGCCTGCGTTGAGTTGAGGACCGCTAATATCGGCCAATACTTGCGCGGAGTGAACGAGTTTTTGGGCGGCTATTGGCTGCACGCCGTCACCGCCCGGCGATATCACGGACTCGACTACTTGGATGTTATACCACTTGAGGGACAGTTTGTTTTTGATAAAAACCGAACAATTATTAAGCCGAGTAATGTTCGCCAAGATAATTTTAAATGGCTTAAAAATGTACCGGGTAATGTGCAACCTAAATAGGGTGGACTCAGGGAATAACCACATTTTATATGCTAAAATTTGTGTGCATTGATTTTTAATTAATATGCCAGCTTAAATAATTATATCAGTAATTTTTAAAATGCTAAAATATATTTTTCAAACTTCAACTTTTGATTTTTTATTACTTTATGTGTTATTAAATAATATAAACTTTATAAGATTCCATGCTCAATATATTAATTTAAATAATTGTTTTATAAATTTCTAAAAATGTAAGAAACTTTATATATTTTACAAAGCTTATTTAAAACTACTATATGTACTCATAACATAATTTTATACTTATGTGGGCTTAAAATAAACTTATTGAATTTAAAAAATAATAATAAATTGACCATCAAACATAAATAATGCAAATAAGAACTGTACTAATAAACTCATTAAAATAATTGTTATTTTTTAATTTTAACATTATAAAATAAATGGAACCAATCAATATAACGTTCATATTTTATATATTTTATTTTTATATAAATCATTAAACAGAATATGCATTTATTTTATATTTTCCTAAATATAACATAAACTAAAGTTCATTTATAACTGTAATTGTTGACGCAATATAAATGTTTAGTAGATAATAAAGATCTAGTTAATGTTAAGACAAAAATACTGTTTAGTAGTAGAACCATAAAATTAAAATTCCTATTTAGATATGATCATGATGGATAGTCAGTTGTATAAAATTGGTTTATGTCTGGCGCAAAATAACCAGCGAAATATTATACATATACCAATTATACAGTTTATAATCTGTTTATTAATGTTAATTAAATCTATGTTAATATTTGCAGTTTCAGTTGTAAGTAAAAATAATACAGTTGTTCTAATGCTACTTGGTGATTTTACGTATATTCCAAATGTATTGTTTCAAATCACCATGGGCCAAATATTTTCTGCAATTCTTGCATTAGGTGTACATCTGATTTATTATCATAACTTTAGAAAAAGTATTAAACCAACATTCTTGAAAATATTTTACCTACTACAAAATTATAATTTATTACGTAAACGTCAAATTAATATCCATGATGCTTATTTAGATAAGCATTCTAAACTAGCTTATAAACTATTCAAATACCTTAACTATAATAATCAGATTCTAGTTCCATTTGTCTACTTTACGATGGATTTTATACCATATTTATTTACATATGATTTAAAAGCAATGTTACTTAATCGTTTACCAATTGCCATAAATTTCACCGTTTTTAGCTATTATTCTTGGAATATAATCTCGTATCACGTGCTATATTTTTACGTTATGAGCAAATACTTTGCACTTAAAATTAAACAGCATAATGAAATAATGTTAACTTTAACAAATACTAAACAAAATGTTATAACGTATATATGCAAACTAGATAAAATATTTGTTGAAATTAATGACTATAACAGCACTTATTGGTCCAAAATTTTACTAATATTCTGGTTCTGTTTGGGTTCAGTCGATATTCTGGTATTTTCTATATTAATATTTAAACCGATGTCTGTATTTTTGCGACTATTATTTACATACACTGTAATAACGATTACATTACTATTTTTATTCCTGATATTCACGGCCTCATCAGTTAATTACGAGGCAAACAAATCGTGTTCATTATTGTATAAAATACTGTACACTAAATATAGTATTAGATTTAAGCCGTGATTTAATTGAACATATTTTGTTTTTAAGTTTATGACTTTAATTATTAAATGTTTTAATTAAATTTCTTGAGTAACGAGTTAATTTGTTTAATATAAATTTTCAGAAACTTTCTAGCAACAATTATTTGCCCTGACATTAATTAAATACATTTTTAAAAATTATATTTTTTTATAAAAAAAATAATAAGTTAAGATATCAATATAATGATTATAAATATTAAACTACATTATATTTGCACAAAACTAAAAAATATAATATTCAAACCTATTTATAAAATAAATGTTAAACTTTTAAAATTTAAGAGTATTTATGCTGGAGTATTTATGCTATATTGAAAACATTCACATTAAATATTTATATATTTTTGTTTAAGCATTTAAAGCCAAAACTAACTGCAAATAATTTATTATAGAAATAATTTTATTTCAAATTAGTTTATATTTTACAAAAATAAAAACAAAATCAATAAAAATTTATAAACAAATTTTTAAATTTATGTGTTAATTAAATTTATTATAATAATAGCAGCATTGAACTAAAATAACACCTTTATCAGTTGAATTAAAATGTAGCTGTATGATTGATAAGTTATTATAATTAATAAACAAAAATTTGAAATTAATAAAATAAAGTGTTGAATAGTTATCCTGTTGTGATTCCGGATCAAAATAAGTCACACATTTTTTAGTCCTGCATACCTGTCAGCACACAAACACAAGGTCTAAAATAATTAAACTACCTGTGCACTATAATATGATAATGAAATTTATAACTTAATTAATTTTGCTACATTCATTATTAAAGTATTAATTAAGTAAAAATAATTATCTCGTGCATTACATTAGTAGTTAAACTAATGTAGATGATAAATTCTAATGATTCACACATATATTTAAATAAAATATTAATTGCATTAAGAAATTAAATGTTATTCTATGGAGTTGTTATATAAGATGTAAATTTTCTAATTAAATATTTAGTGTTTGCCATTTAGCTATTTATTAACTAAAACCATCTAGCTTATAGGCAATTAAAATGGATAATAAGTTATATAAAATTGGTTTATGTCTTACAAGAAGTAATCGCAAAATTAACAGAACTTTCATTCATAAACCAATTCTTGTATTTATAATCTCATTATTAATGTTAATTAAATCTATCTTAAAATTGACAATGTTAAATGACACATTTATGCTTTTTGTACTTGGTGATTTTACAAGTATTTTAGGCATTCAATTTGAAATTACATTGGGCATAATATTTTCCGCTGTGCTATCATTGAGTAGTCAACTAATGTACTATTATAATTACCTAAATAATATTAAACCTACATTTTTAAGCATATTTAAATTATTACAAAATCGCAAAGAATTGCCCAATAGTATGATAATCAAACATGATACTAATATTACTAAACTCGCCAAACATTCTCATATACTATTTAAATACATTCGCTATAATAATCAATATATAATACCTTTTGTCTATTTCTGTATAAGTTTTATACCATGTTTGCTTTACTATGATATAAAAACTACGTTAATCTATGGTTTGCCAAACGCTATGATGTATTGCTATTATTCTTGGAATATTAATTCTTATCAAATGTTGCATTTTTATATTATAAGCAAGTATTTTGTCACCATGATCAAAGGGCAGAATGAGACAATGTTACATTCAACGAACACCAATCAAAATATTGCTCGTTATATTAAAAAACTAGATAAAATATTTTCCCAAATTAGCGAATATAACAGCACGTATTGGTCAAAATATTTATTACTATTTTGGTTCTGTTTTGGTTCTATAGATATTCTGGTTCTCTCTATACTACTATTTAAGCCGATGTCTGTATTCCTGCGACTATTATTCACATACATTATAATAACGATTACATTACTATTTCTATTCCTGATATTCACGGCCTCATCAGTTAATTACGAGGCAAACAAATCGTGTTCATTATTGT